ATGTGCATGGATGAAACATCTAAAATAATGTTTTCAAAAAGGTCCTTTTTTGAATTTCATGAACTTTTGTGACACGGTTTTGCTATAGACAATCGGATGACTCGGTTTATGGAGCCATTTATAGTTATCTAGAAATATGATATTGACACGTGTCCTCCAATAAATACACCTTGGACATTCGATGGCCCATATAATTTCTACCTATCGACAGCTAATTAATGACCCAAATGTTAGCGCTTAAGTAAGGTAAATCCGATAAAAAAAGGACACCAAGGAGTAGTTGATTAGACCATCTCCAACCGAAAAATTCATTCCTAAACTCGTTTTACAGTATCTGTCACATCAAACAGTAATTCTTCTCCAACTGAAAAACCCATACTCAAACCCAAAAGAATATTCTCGGAATATTCTATTATACATCATTTTTTATCACTTTTCAATACCAAATACTTTAACAATTTTTACAAATTTGACCCAACATTATTTCATATTCCATTTAAATATGTATATTTATATATCATAATAGTCATTACAGATTGATGATTGTAAGCAAAATTATATTTTATTATTTAACTTAAAAAAGAATTCTAGAAAATATGTTTGAATTAGTTATCAAACTTTTATTACAACGTTGATAAATATTATTTATAGTATTTGTATAATTGTTCAAAAACTATTTTATAAACATTTTCAAAATGTTCGGATTGAATTTAATAATTCAAAGCACTGGTATGATTTTACAAGAAATATTTGATAAATATTGTTGTTCGATTAAATTTGTTATCTGATATGCATGTTTAATTTTTTTTTTTAATCTATTTATTATAGAAAGAGGCAACCCAATAATTTTAAAATAGTAATTAAAAAATCCCTAGAATTCCCTCCTAAATTTTTAGATTACTATAATAAGTAACGTTTTTTGAAGAATTTTGAAAACCGTTTATCTTATCCCATCTTTTCTTTTGAAAGAACTATCTTATCTCATCTTAATCTTAATTAAGCACACACCTCCATTAAAAATTGTCGCTCGAGAAAAAAACCCACAGATCTTCGCTCATGCTCCAGGAGGACTCAAAACCCCCAATTTTCAAGGCCATTCACCTTTGGCCTCCTCTTCTCCTCCGCCGATATCACCATTGGTGATCGCCACAAGCTCTTCATCAACTTCAAATTCGGCCTCGGGTCAGGCCCGCGGCTTAAGTTTAGCTACATGCTGAATGACCCCTGCTGCCTATTCGACATGTCCTTGACGACCAGCGTCGGGATATTCAGTTCCATGACGGGGGAATTCCCCAAATTTCTTCTTCACTTCAAGTCCAAGTCATGAGATTTTTCCGTTCGGAGGTCCGTGAGGACGGAGGAGGAGAATAGAAGGAAAGAGATAATGATGGCGACGACCGATTGCCAATTTGATGTTGTTCCTTTTATTTTTGGGAGATTTTGCCTTTTTTTTTGGTTTGTCGTTTTGGTTTTGGGCTTTTTTTTCAGGAAAATTGGGTTGTTCAGACGAGTCAAGCGCCACCCTGCTGGAAATAAAAACTGTTGGAGCTGGGAAACGTCTTTGTTTCCATGATGAGATTTTGCTTCTGCCCGTTGGATAGCCGACTCTGGTGCTCGAGCTTCTTCCACCACATGCTGATGTTATTCTAATAATTTTATAAAAATACCAATTGTTAAGTGAGAATCGCTACTGATATACATCGATTACATCGATTATAAAAAATACCAATTGGTTGTTCACAGCGGGTGCATATTCTTTGATTGCTCTATTGTCATTAAGGATAATACTTTACTTTTACTGAATCAATGATAAATCTGACTTCAAAATTGTGGAAGTATGAAGAATAGTTAGTACTAATACAAAAAATAATAATAATAATAATAATGAAAAAAAAATCATGCCCATTATCTCATCAACTATTGTTTTACTAATTAAATGAATTTGTATTTTTATTTTCATTTGACTTGGAATTCTGATATATGAAATATGTGCTCATTAATTATGCCATCTATCACTATAAAATAGCAATAGGAATTTACTTTAAGTAGAAAGTAAAATCTTGCCTAAAAATTTTGATTTTACTAACGGTTGATTTGTAATTTGAATTTCAATTTTATTCAATATTTAAAGGAAAATATCATAAGTAGATTTTTTTTGATACATTATATTTTATCTAAACTTACATATAATCACATTTCTAACAAATATTAAATTTGCTATATATTTTTTTACATCAATAAATAAAATTAATATGCATTAAATATTTATCATTATATAAAATATAATAATACTTTTATAAGTGGTAAATAATAATGACATTATATGACAATAATTTTCTTAATAAAATAATATTTGAATATTAAAATGAATCAAAATATGTAAAATTATTATTTTTTTTTTGTATTAAAAATTAAATATATGTTAAAATATTATTATAATAATATAAAAGGGTCAACGGGTTAAAATATTATTAAAATAAAATTTTGAAAAAAAGTTATAAGGTCGAAACCCCCGTGCATCGCACGAGATTCTCACTAGTTATTATATTATAAGTCTAGTGTTTATCTCTTGGTGTTAATAAAAAATCAATTATACATATTACTTTTTGACCTGTACAAAAATAAGAATAAATATGATATTTTTTTTTTTTTTTTTTCGGAACGATAGAGGTAATATAGAAAAGCACAAAAGTGCAAAGGTACAAATTACAAGACCCCAACAGGATAATAACTACGGCCCCAACAGGGTAATAAGACAGGGGCCAACGGCCCAAACCAAAAACACACCTACTAAACGAACAGGAATAGAAAGCTGAGAGGACACGCACATGGCGGAATAAATATGATAATTATTGTTTTAAAAAATATATTATTAGTTGACTTTAATTCATGTTTACGAATACTCAGTCGTGGATCATTTTCATATTCAAATTATCTCTTTATTAAAATTTAAAATAAATCATTAAAGAATTATAGGATATACACAACACAAAACAAAGACAAAATATAAGAAATTAAAATTTAAGCAAATAAATAATTGTAGGAATATACAGAACACAAAACAAGACAAAATATAGTGGAAAAGGAAATATAGGGATTAAACTGCAAATAAAAACAAACATTTTGCGTTTGTGAATAGTAGAAACGCAAATTTGCGTTTGGAGGAGAGATAAACACACCAAATACTCATTTTGGGTTTGCTTTTGACGATTGATTGGAGGAAATATTCCCTTGCGTTTGTGTTTTGGACATGGGTTGGAGATGCTCTTAGGCCCGATCCATTTTACTCAACTGAGTACCAATAATGATTCAAATACTCGAACAGGACCCATTATTTGGGAGAGTAATTAATTTGAAGTGTACCCCACACAAGCCCATTATTCATTTGTGAAAAGACTCGAACAGTCGTATTTCATCCGGATAACGCATCAATTTGTCTGAGTCATACTTTAGACACCATAATGCAATATACAGTATTATTGGGCCCTCATTTTTAATTTATAGGTCTAATTAATCGAGACGAGTTCGAGCCATTATTTTAAAGTTTGGCTCGTTATCTAGACGAGAAAGTAATCGAGCTAGAACTCAAACTTGGCTCACTTAGTAATAATTTAATATTTATGAGCTGGAATCATAGAAAAAAAATATATATTATGTTTCAAGCTCTAAGGGTGTGTTTGGTTCAATGAAGGGGAAGGAGGGGAGGGATTTTAATGGAGGGAAAGGGAGGGGAGGGAAGGTGATGTAAAATAATTTTACCTTGTTTGGATAGATTATTTAGGAGGAGAAGAGAGGGAAAATGGTAAACCTTGTTTGGTTGATGAAGGGAAAATAAACTAAAATGACAAATTTACCCTTAATGAAATAAAAAAAATTAAAAACAATTGAAAGTAGGGGCTAAAAGATAATTTTTTATCATTACAAACCACTTCCCCTCTAAATCCCTCCAATTTTGGAGGGGAGAAAAAGTGGATTTTCCTCTCCCTTCCCTCCTAATTTTCCAACCAAACAAGTGAAAATTAAAATTCTCCCTCCCCTCCCCTCCCCTCCAAACCCCTCAAACCAAACAACCCCTAAGGATTCTTATTAATCCGAACCAAACCGAGTCTATCTCGTCTCGTTATATTAACGAGCTCGAACTTGACTCGGTTTTCACGAGTGATTTATTTTGTTTACAACTCATATTTTTAAATTTTGATCGACTCAAGTGTAAACAAGTCGAATCGAGTCGAACTAAGCTTCAACTTGAACCCAGAGCTCGAGCTAAAGCTTGACTTATTAGCGAGTCAAATTATAGCAAAATATAAAAAAATTCATCTTTTCCAGCTTTAACAAATAACAAGCCTTATTTAGTTGAACCAAGAGTCGAGTTGAACACATTACATCTAACTCATTAACTAAACGAGCTTTAAACGAGTTCAAGCTCGCCTATTGATTTCGGTTTAAAGTCAACAACTCTATCTTTTTAGGGGGCCTACTTGCAACTACGAAAATATACACACTCAACCTGCAACCACCATCTCTATCATTTTTTTCTGATAGGGCGCAATAGGACAAATCTATGAGCTAAAATAGAAAAGCATGTATTGATCGCCCACACTAGAGTTCTCAGCAAACACGCCTCTTTCTTGGCTCTCGTCGCTACCATTTATATTTTCTGATTCCGACAGCTGAAGGTCTCGCAGTAAGTCGCCATCAATTTCTGCAAGTCGAAGTTTTTATTTTATTTTTTATCTTTTTCTCTTGATAATGTCTGAAATCAGTACTTCTTCTTCTGCTCATGGTACAACTCGCTGCAGCCGTCGTAAATGCCCAAGACTCTAGCTTTTTTCATATTTTGTTGATTTTGATGCGAGGGTTTTTGGAACTGGGAATTTGGGGCTGGAACTGAAGTATGTGATTTTGTGTGTTAATGTGTGTTTTTTTGTTTTTTTTTT